AAATATAATAAAAAAATATATATTACACTAACCTGAAATTAAATTTAATAAATTTGAAATCAATTATCTTAATAATATTCGTGGATAGGTTTATAATTCGGCATCTTACGTTTCTAAAAAGTGACAAATAAAAAATTAATTTATAAAAACAATTCTATTAATTTATTGATTTTATATGTTTCCAATTCCTAGTTGAAGTTCTCAATTTATTTATAGCACTCCATTATGATTAAATTTAATAATAATTTTTTTTTAATATTTAAAAAATGTCTTTCATTTATTTTTTTAATTTATTCTATATACATCTTTCTTATTTTACATGAAATCGGACCATGAAAAAAACTAATTCTGAGTTTTCTCATCAAAATGTTCAAATCTTTTTTAGATTAACATGAACCCTAATCAAAGTTGGTAGCAAGTAGTCAAAAGGAAGTGCATAGAGAGAAAAAAAAAAGGAACCAATAGCTGATTTCCAATGCATCAAAGTTCCCGGCCAAGTTATCAGATGAACAAAATCCAAAATTGAATGATTAGCAGCAGCTTTAACAAAAAATTATTTTAACCACAAAATCTGCAAATTTGAAGAATTCAATGGCGCACAAAGGAAAAAAAGAAGAAACAAGTAAGCACAAGAATCACAAGCAATTTAAACACTACACAAACTTAGAATTCGTTGTACAAGAAAGTTTGACAATTTTTTCAGGCTTTTCTATCTATTCTGTCCCTGCAATCTTCTTCTTCAGAGATTCAATGTCTTCTGCTAACTCTTTTCGGCTCGACTGCAACAATCAAGTGCAAAAATTCATGTTTTATGAAAAATATCACAATTGGAACTATTAAAAATTGCAATACACTTTTTCATGCATGTGTATGGTGGCATAAATAAGAAAATTAAAGGTTAGGTGTAAGAAATGAAAATATATTGGAATTAAGAGGTATGTATGTTAAGTCTTCCTTTTCTAAAATACTATACAAAGTGGATAGCAAAAGCAATTTTCAACTAAAAAACTGGATGTATCATGTTGGAACTGAAACATAGGATTCAAATTTTCTCTAAAATCTCATACAAAAGATTAGTAAGAGTTAATATTCATCTAAATTACAATTCCAATACCTAGCCAAAAAATGATGCTTAACTCATATGCTTTAGAGCAAACATTAGTTACCTTGAACAACAGATAACGGTACACGAACCATCCGGTGTAACCAAGCCCGATCAGCTCCATAAGTTTCGGCAGCTGCCATGAGAATGATCTTCTTTTATTAATAAGATCATAAATCTCAAAAACAATTTAAAGAAGATAATGTTAACAAGAGCACACCAGAGGAACAGAGTTGATAGCACTGATAATAATAGAAGACAACCAGAGAGCAACAATGGCACCTCCACCATAGACAAAAACAGTGGACTTGTTCTCAATAGAATCCCACTACAGAGTAAATAAATGTTAGAAACATTCTAAAGGACCAAAATAGTGCCCCGATTGTCTGCATGGAGCAATTTTAGTCTTAGAGTCACCGAAAATGTGAAATTAGTCCCC